TATGTACAGGACCCTTTGAACTACCAAACTGCTTGGCCCTGCTGTCTTGTTCCTTCTCCACTCGCATAGCAGCTAGATAACTATAATTGAAAGCCAGATAACTATAACTAAAACATATATATTATAGAATAATCCTGAAGTTTATAAAGATACCTTCCAGGAAGCAGTTGAGAAACATGTACAGGACCCTTTGAACTACCAAACCGCTTGGCCCTGCTGTCTTGTTCCTTCTCCACTCGCATAGCAGCTACCTCTTTCTCCATAGTGGCTACTTCCCTTCTCATTTTCTTGGCTTCTACTTCCATTGCTTTGGTCAAAGTATCCACTTTCTTGGCTAAAATCTGACCATCCATAAGAAAGGAGCAAGTTATGATTCTTGTAAATTGACGTTGCACTTCAGTAATTAAACTAAAGGCATAAGAAGCATCACCTCAATTGCATCATCTTTGTCCTTCAGGCTTTGATCTTTCTCGTGACATGCTTTTCGTAGGGTGATCACCTCCTTTTGTAGCATGTCGTACAAAAGACCAGACACAGTATCATCTGAATCAGCACTGTTGTGCTCACAGAGTTTCTCATTTGGAATCCCCTCACAAGTGTTACTTGCATCAATGTCTTTAATACCATCAGAAGATCTGTCGAGTGAATGGCTCATTCCAATTGCAAGGACTTTACCCCTATCCAATGACCTAGTGCCACCATCAAATGATTTTGACGTCCCCTTTGCATGTTTTAGTACTGCACTGGTGCTACTTGAGAGCGAAGATCTCAACTGAAAGGATGGTGATCTCCGAACTACAGATCCACCGAACAAAGGCTTGGAGAGATTCTCAGCTCCACCAATAGATTGACGACGGGTAGAGCCATTAGTTACACTCTTCCCTTCAATGTTAGTACGGCTGGAACCACTGGATGACATTCTCAATCCCTCTTCTACGACTTTAAGGCGCAACTGATATTTTTCCTGTGAAGTTTAAAGGGCAAACACATTATTTTTGTTTACTGCAAAATAAACAGAAAGCAAATAGAAATCCACGCATCCAATGGAAAAGTTTATACTTTTAACTGAGCTTCGTATCTTGCAGTACGATCTGCAATAGCAAGCTTATCACGTAGTTGCTGCATTTCACCCTGAAGGAATAGTGCCGAAGGTTAGTTATTCTCTTTACTAGTTGTGCAGATAAACAAAATGGTATGCTTACAGATGAAAAACAAGCATAAAACTACATACATGTATAAAGCAGAAAGGAATTGAAGGGAGCCAGAGAGAGATGCAACAATTTTAAGATCATATGAGAAATGAAGTGTGTCAATAATGCATACCTGCATGAACCTTCGTTCTTCAAGCCATTGCTTAACAGGCATTACTTTGTCATTAGCATCTTTCCATTCATTTGCCACAACAACTGCAACTCTATTAGCTGTAACTTTTGCGCGTGCAAGTTCACGGTCAAGGGTTTTTCTCTCTTCCTAAGTAGTATGGGTAAAAAGGTCATGATATAAATGATCATTAAATGGTAGAAGAAAGAACAAAATTGGGTGAGAAGAGTTCTTCAAAACACATCAACTTTTTCAAAGGAAAAATGTCTACATTCATCTCTTGAACTTTGCGCTGGTAGTCTCTAACAGCATTTGCAGCTGCACCACCAGCAAGGACAGCTTCTTCAAGTTCTCTTACAGTCAGGCTAAGCTTCTCAACTTCAAAAACCTTTTGACGATGCAATTTGTCGAAGATTTTGTTTTCTTCCTAAGATGGAGGGAATAAGCAAATAGTGACTTTGGTATAACCAAATTACTCAGTTCTTTTCTATGGTAGACTTCCATTTTACCTGGCAAATCTCAATCTGTTTCATTAACTCCTGGTTCTTGTTTTGCAGATCATCCACCATGGAAGCCTTTGCCAAAGCTATTTCTATTGTCCTTTCTGCCTCCAAGAGGGCTGCCTCCTTTGATTTGGTTAGACGATCCAGTGCTCTATTGTCATCTTGCAATTTTGCAATCTGCACAAGAATATTTGTACTAATAAACATTCTGTCTTTTGCTTCCTTAGGGTAGTATATCAACAACGAAAGAAAATTTCAATACTGTCAAGAGAAATGCATGCAATACATTCTAAACAACCAATTAATATAAACAATCTCACTGCCAATTTTTTCTCCTACTGTTACTTGATTTTTCTAACAAAATCTTGTTCTTTATAGTACTTATTTGGTGATTATCCATGAAGTGCGTGTTATTTGTTAAACAACAACAAAAGCAGTACTGCATCATATGAAATTTGCACTTTCCAGAAACAATAATTGAACCTGAGGTGGAGCTTAAAATTTGGTATTTACGATTACCTTAATAAAATCCTTACTAGACAAGCACAGTAACCAAAAATAGTCCAGTATACATCTGTTAAGAAGCAAAAGCAACTACTAAGCAACATTATTGTAAATTGCTAGGAAATGTTATCAAGAAGGAAAGAAGGTTTGTCACTGAAAGTGCATAAAGTTTTGCACGAAAGGATGAAAGAACTAAAAAGAATTCAAAAGGAAGCCAACAATGACAAGAATAGTGTCAAAAGTGTCACGACCCAATCTAATGGGATAATTGACAGTTCAAAATGCTTAAGCTGAAACTATAGTAATGCACCTATCAAACCTTTATAAGCCAATTTTATTCTTAACCCACTTCCGATGTGGGATTAAATCGGGATGTTACAATCTCCCCTACTTAAGACCTTGACATCCTCTAACCCAAACAACTAGCTTAAAATGCTTAAGATGAAGTTAATAATAATACGCTTATCAGATCCTTTTAAGCCAATCTTATTTTTAACCCACTTCCGATGTGGGATTAAACTTGAAATGACAGTAATTTTGAAATAGTAATCTTGAAATGACAAAAAATCTTCCGCGGGATTAGAAAAGGCAAACTACTGTTTTTAATAATACAACAAAAAGAACTTTGTTAAAATTCTTATACAAGAACTCAAGAAAAATCCATAGTTTGTGGTGCACCCTAACTCCAACATGATACACCTGGACCATATTAGTGTCAGCCAAGACCTATCCAATTTCAGAATTATGGTCATAGGGGTTGAAACCAGTAGGAAATATATAAAACCAACTAAACTCAACCAATTAGCCTGATTTTCAACCATTTTAGCCAATTACATAAACTATAAATAAGAAAGAGAAAAGGAACTAGGGAAGGAGGAGAGGAAAGCTAACATGGAGAAAAGCCAGAATGTGACTATGACTTAAGAAATAGTGGAGAAGACACAACTACTATTTGCTTTTTGTTCCAATAATTGCATTTCTCATCTGCCATGTGTTGAAATACCCATCATCTATTGTCAAGATAGGGAGAAAAGGGTGTGCAGTGAGAAATATGAATATTAAAGATAGTCCTTGATCACCAAAGAAAAGAAAGATGCTATGACGTTAAAAAGATGTCATAGGATTCAAATTTAATTCTTCTGTTTTTGCATTACCAACATATCACCCGCATGTTAATTAGAGAATTATAGGGGCCACAGTGAGGTTTATCATCTTCTATTGTATCTTTTGTATGACATATAGTCATCTGCTACAAAAATATTTTTTGCATAATATGGTTACCATTTATACATGTTATTCTTTGATATTTCAGTTCCTTATGACTTTTACGAAAACATAGATACATTACAGAATATGCAGATAAAAGAATCTTTTATGATAAAGTTATTTCATATTATTAAATTATATTGTATTTCCTTCTAGTAGTTTTTTATTTTTACTCTGAAATTATTTTCTTAGCCTATTCCAATCCCATCAATCCAATCTGGTAAAGTTTAATCCAGCCAATCTAATTCAGAACATCCTGACAATTCCTACCATATCATCCCTATCTGATCCAGATCTAAATACCAATGTTGCAAATTGTAAAAGTCTGCAGTTGCCAATAATTTTAGCCATTCCAGAGATTAGCAAAGATTGGGCTACAGGACTGAAAAACACAATACCTCCTGGCGGGCGAGCTTTATCTCTGCTTCAAGTGGTGCAAGAATGGCCTCGATTGGTGGCATATCATCATCCTTTTGAGCAGCATGAACCCTTCTGAGGGTAGCTTCTGCTGCAAACTGGGCAGCCATCGAAGACTTCTTCTCATCATTTAACTTCTTAATTTCAAGATTCTGCAAAATATCTCAAATTAATAAACTCAGACTGAAAGTCAGTGTAAAAAAATGACAATGAAACAATGTATGCTAGACGGTACTTTGCTCTCTAGAATAGACTCTGTCAACTTGAGCTTCCCATCCACCTTGGTCAATTCCTCAGTAAGCTGCATGGAAAGGAGCAGGATCAGAACACCTCCAATTTTCTCAAACTTCAACTCATTGTCATTAGTAACCAATACTCCAACATAATCTAAGCTTCAGAAAAATGCAAAGGATTTGGAAGAAAAAATATATATTCTAAGAAAGAAGGCACAAATTAAACAAGAAAAGGATGATGGAGAAGTTTCCCAATACAAGATAGATGAAACAAATTCACTCTGCAGAATGATTGTGGGTAGAAGGTTGAGTGAAAATCCATTTCTTATGGGTTAGCGATGGTTTACTAAACCCGCGGAAACTAAAATTAAGCACGTTACCGAAAACAGAGACCAGTTTTTATCACATCAAAGTGCTAAATAAACCAAGAAGCCAAACGGAACAAGAACAAAGTATAAGAACAATGACCAAGATCAACAATAGCGAAAAAAACAATTCACTGCTAATAGCCTGATGATACGGTACGCAACACAAAACGAAGCTAAGGAGATATCCGATAGGACAAAAGGTAATACAAATGTAAAAATATTAACCTCTTCGACCGCCTTCTCCCTTGCACGCTCAGACAACTTCAGCGCCTTAATCTCTGCTTGAGCCTCCCCCAACTCCCTATCCTTATCTAAAACCAAAAAGACCTAGGATCTAAAGACGCGATCTTTCAATCATTTCAGAGCAAGAAAAACCCAGCAGATCGAACCACAATCCTACCTCTGACTTCATTCTCGAGCCTGTTGAGCTCAACCTTGACCGGATCCGACCCGTGCAACAGATTGATGAACTCATCCGCCTCCAAGCTCCGCCGGATAGACGCCCTCCGCCTCGAAGCCGCCTTCCCGTCCCCTTTAAAGGAACCCGACAGCGTGGCGGGCAACTCCGCCTCCCCGCCGCCGCTCGGATCAGCCATCTCGGATCCAACCACCAACCCTTCCCGCTCTCAAAAAATCGAAAAGAAAAATAAAACAAAAACTATTTCCAAGCTCCGCTCCGATCGGCGTGGGGGTCTTCTCAGGGTTCCAAGTCGTCGATCTAAGAAAACACGGTAAGGAAAAAAGAATCTAATGGAACCCTAATTCGTCTCTCTTTTTGGCAGCTTTCGCTTTAACCTCCTCCGTCGTCGTCCTCTCGTCCCGTTTAAAATCCTTAGAGCGGAGAGTGAAGTTATATATTTTAGTCTTCCACAACAGAAGAGAGAGAAGGCTGTTTGTTTCACTGCATTCGGGTTCCGTCACCGGTCCATGCGGTGATCGAATCGATTTACGACGCTTTTGCCAAACGACGGTAGGGTTAACCGCCGGGAGGGAGACCGCATCCGAAGCCTTCCTGTAGCGTGTCCAGATTCGATCAGCTCCCAGGACAGAAGGCCAACGAGCGTTGTCCGCCCACCATAACTTGACACGCGTCAGCGTGTTTTCCACGTTAAGCATTGCCTTTCGTGGCGCAGTTATTGATGCAAACAGGCTGTACTCGAATGATTCCTTATTTAAAATCTGATTTGGTCATGACACCAGAAATGACATGGTGTTTTTTTTGCAAATAAGTACCTTGAAAGTTTATATTGGCCTGCCTACCTCCTATATATGTATGTATATATATATAT